GTGGAAGCAGATTGCCGCAGTCATGAAGGTACCAGCTGGGGGGCGGAGGGCCAGGTCTGTGTGGGGCAGCTCCGGCTGGGCCCAGGTATCCACCCCCTGAGTGGGTGAGGAGTGACCAGGGAGGCTCTGCTTTCAACCCCCCGGGGGTGTGGAAATGTCTGCCTGGGGAGCAGCACCCTGATGCTGCCTGCCCTCCTGTCTTGGCTGCCCCCAGGGGATGCGCCTCGCACAGCTTTTGCAGGTGCTTGGTAACGGCTCCTGGAGCATTTCCTCCCTGTCCAGGGGGAAAGCAGGGCCGTCCCAACTGGGGTGCAGCAGGGACAGCTGCTGCGGAGGGTCCCTTTGATCACTGTCCTCCCATGATAGCATCCCAGAGCCGTGGGGCTGGCAGCGACCCCAGAGGTCACAGCTAATCCAAGCCCCGCCCGAGGTGGGATCAGGGGCTTCCTCTCGGCCTACCCCTCTCTTTGCAGCGCCGGTTCCTGTTCCCGTTCTTCGACTCGGCCTACCAGGGCTTTGCCTCGGGCTGCCTGGACCGGGACGCCTGGGCTGTGCGGTACTTCGTTGCCCAGGGCTTTGAGCTCTTCTGCGCTCAGTCCTTCTCCAAGAACTTCGGGCTGTACAGTGAGTGTCTGTCCCGGCCTGGGGCAGGCGGCCTCTCCAGGTGGAGGCGCCATGCGGGGAGCGGCAGGGCTACCGGCTCATGCCTGCCTGTTGCCCACAGACGAGCGCGTGGGGAACCTGTCCGTGGTGGGGAAAGATGCCGACAATGTCCAGCGCGTGCTGTCCCAGATGGAGAAGATCGCCCGCACCACCTGGTCCAACCCACCCTCGCAGGGAGCCCGCATCGTGGCCACCACCCTCACCTCCCCCCTGCTTTTTGCCGAGTGGTAAGTGCTTCCAGGCGGGGCGAGGGGGAGCAGGCTCTGGGCTCACCACGTGCTCAGCCGGATCCCGCTGACCCGGGCTCACGCCTCCCTCCTCTGCAGGAAGGACAACGTGAAGACCATGGCGGATCGGGTCTTGCTGATGCGGTCGGAGCTCCGTTCCCGGCTGGAGGACCTGGGCACCCCCGGTACCTGGAGTCACATCACTGACCAGATTGGCATGTTCAGCTTCACGGGGCTGAACCGTAAGTACCAGCCAAAGCGGGTGGAGGATCAGTCCCTGCCCCTGCCCCTGCCCCTGCCCCTGAGCCTGGCTGCAGGGACTGGGACTAGGGCTGGGTGCAGGGGCCCAGGCTGGAGGCCCTGCTGACCTTGCCAGGCTTTGCCTTTTGTGCTAGATGGAGAGCACGCCAGCCCGTGGCAGGGCTCCTGCCCAGTGCTACCTAGTCCCAGAGCTGCAGGGCCCGCAGGGAGCTGCGGGGTCAGATCTAGTCCCAGCCCTATTTTTGAGGCGGGATCAGCCCTGCCCAAGCCAGCCCAGACAAACCCCGTGTCCGACCTCGGAGCCACATGACACAGCCCCAGGCATCGCCAGCACCCCTGCCCCGGGATACGGTGGGGCTGCAGCTGCCAACGTCCTGCTGCTGCCAGGAGGGTCATGGATGCTGCAGAGCGCCCGGGCCATGCTGCAGAGGAAGAGGACTCTTTTCCCCCCCCC